GAGCGTAGGTATTCAGACTACGCCGCTTGGAATGTATGAAACCTTGGGCATAGGTATTTAGGTTGTATTACAAGATAAGCTCTGGATGCAAGATTAGACTAATTCGCTTGGAACGTAAGAAGCCTTGGATGTAGGTTTTCAGACTACGCCGCTTCGAACGCATGAAGCCTTGGGCATAGATTTTCATACCGTATCACAGGGTAATCCCTAGATGCGGGTTTAGACTACGTCACTTGGAACGCATGAGGCTTCAGACATAAGTTATCGGGTTCATGATTAATATTGTAAATCCTAGGGGGTATCTTGGAAAACGAACCAAGAACAGAAGAAGAAACTAGAAAGTACCAAGAAGAAGACAAAAATTAAGTACTAGATCATGGATCCAACACAATATCTACCACTCAAAAGTGTGAATAGATCTTAAAATATTAACTGATTACGAATATCTTGACTAATTCAAACTAGTAATAAGTTGCCTAAATTCTAACAGCCTCCCTTAGTGCAAGCTTATTTCTCAATAACTTCGAGAGCCTTACAAAAAATTTCAAACTCCACTTTGGAAAGTGCCTTAGTAAATAGGTCTGCAACTTGCTCATTAGTATGTATTTTCTGCAATTCAACATCCTGCGATAACACTTTCTCTCGAACAAAATGATAATGAATTTCAATATGTTTCGAACGAGCATGAAACACCGGATTTCCAGCAAGTTTTTGCAATTTCATTATCACAATTAATTTGAATTGGCTGATTGAGAGCATTCACCATTTCTTGAATAAGTCTCCTGAGCCACAAACATTCTTGAGTAGCCATTATAGCAGCTACATATTCTGCTTCACAACTTGACAAAGCAACGGTGCTTTGCTTTTTACTGTACCATGAAATTGCAGCAGAGCCTGCTGTAAAACAAAAACCTGTTGTGAAGTGTTTGTCATTCACGTCCCCAGCCCAATCAACATCCACAAAACCACCCAATAAAAATCACTTTGATATCTCATACATTAATCCATAATTTAGAGTGTCCTTGATGTAACAAAGAATCCTTTTTGTTGCAATTAAGTGAACTCCTGTTGAAAAAGCAATGTCTAACCTTATGATAGTTAAATATAATAAACTACCAACAAATTGACAAAAAAATGTAGCATCTACTAATGACTTTCCTTCATTTCTAGCTAATTTGAGATTTGGTCCCATAGGAGTAGTTTTTTCTCTTGAATTCTCTGTACGGCCGCTGCAATAAACTTGATGCCTATCATTTTTTTAGAGAGACAATAACCATCATTACATTTCTTAATTTCCAAACCCAGAAAACAATTAAATTCATCTAATCTTTTCATTTCAAAACGAACAGACAAGGCATCTTGGAGACTATTGATTTCAACAATATCATCACATGTAATAATCATGTCATCAACCTATAGTAAGAGCAAGGTGCATCCAGGTGTTGTTTTCTTAACAAATAAGCTCGGATCAGCACATGAAAACTTAAAACCACAAAAATTAAGATATTGAGCAATTTTACCAAATCAAACACGAGGAGCGTGTTTGAGTCCGTACAATGCCACACATAATCAGGATATTCTTTAGAGGTAAATCCTTGTGGTTGCTCCATAAAAATATCACGATCCAACTCTCTGTAAAGGAAAGCATTTTTCACATCAAGCTGCCATAATTTCCAGCTTTTACTAGCAGCTAAAGAGATGATTGTCCGTAATGTGACCATCCTTGTGACTGGACTAAAAGTCTCATCATAGTCTCGACCATATTGTTGAGAGAACCCACGAGCAACAAGATGAGCTTTGTGTCTATCAATTCTACCATCAGCTTTTTTCTTCACCTTGTAAATTCACTTACAAGTAATTAAATTGGCATAATGAGGATTGTGTGGCAAGCATGCAAGTTTGAGTTCACCAAATTTTGACACTCAAAATTCCACTCAAATTTGTGAGGTTTATTTGGCAAGCATGCAAGTATGGTTAAACCAAATTTTGACACCTCAAAATTCCACTAACTCAAACATGTATTTTTCCACGGAGTGAAGTCAACATTTTGACTTTCTTCATTTTAATTCAACAATTAATTTGAATAATTAATTTCAAATTAAAATAATATTAAATTATTAATTAAACTATTTAATTAATATTTAATATTAATTCAAATGTCAATCAAAATCAATTCCAACACATATTTGATTAAAATATTTAAATCTTATTTAAATATCTCAAATTCTCTCTTTTTGTTTAATTCGTAAATAAAACAAACATGTCGTTAAATATATCGTATATATGTAGCGCATATTCCCTAATTTGAATTCGAACACTTCAAACTCACTCGGCACACTGTTCTATGGTTTAGTCTAATATGAGCTAGCAGAGGGACCTAATTGAACTATAGATCATGGGCTCCAACGATCCAAGATTAACCGGTTAAACTCATTAACCTTGTTAACCAACACTCGTTAACTACTAGGACACTCCACTATAACTTAGTAGATGCACTCCCCTAACTATAGATATATTTCTGTCCATTTGATATAACCATGATTAGTAAGTCGATCCTTCACAGTTGTTCGTAACTAGAGCTGGGTCAATTAACCGTTTTACCCCTGAAGTTACTTCTTGTTCCTTATGTCCCACTAATCCTCTAATGAACAATTGGTTTGTGGTCCAACCAGTAAACCGAATCTCTCTCAGGCCAATGAGAGGGTGGGGCCCCTTGTTCAAGACCTGGAGTCAGTACTTAAGAGAACTACCTCTCTTCTATCCCTAAAAGTGGGCAGAAGCGAATTCCATCTTGCACCCCACGTCACCAACCATTCACCCAATCTTACCCCTGAAATGGGAGGCCTATTGAGTCGGCGAACTTGAGCAACTCTCACCCACGCAAATCTAAGGATAATTCCAAATAAACAGAAGTTCATGGTTAGCTCAGGATTAAGATCGAGTTACCTAGGTCATCGAATGAAAAGAAAATCAGTCTCAACAGTAAACGACATTATAAAGTGAGAGTGATTTTTTTCATGGTCCGATCTTATGCAATACTCATTGCATAGGATGCCCCCACTCACATGTCTCCGCATGTACAATTTAGTGATCATATTGTTTATGTCATATACAAAAGTGGGTCGCATCCATAGTGTCCCTAAGATAAGCTACTCAGCCTTATCCCTGTACTATAGATCATTTTGACTATATACTTGAACTTGATCCACTCTTATGTCTCTACATATAGTTCAAGTAATCATATTATAGCCAGAGTATTCTTAGTTTATTGGATTTAGATTAACGATCGTAAAATTCAGTTTATTCAATAACAATCTCTACTGAATAAACATCAATAATAACTTTATTAAAAATAAAATATGTTTTTATTTAGAAACTATGAGTTTTAGGACATAAAACCCAACAATTTTTTTCTGAGTGCTGAAATTTCTTCCATCATTGCATTTTCCCATTCTGAATTTCCTTAGCTTCACTGTACAACTTCAACTCATTTTCACTTGTATCTCCCATAAAAAAACCGGACATAATAGAAAATTGATTAACGTCAACTACAAAATCAGACAAATGACCTGGTAACCTTTTCTGTCTTTAAGGATTTTTTCTTGTGGCAACTTCAATATTTATAGTGATTTATGTATTCTCTTAAGCTTGAATGTCTGTCACAATTGAAATTTTTTTTCTCCCTAACGTAGAATCATCAGAAAAAAGTGCAACAATAGTTGTACTTTTGTTGCTATCTACATCATCTTTGTAACTTAAAATTTCATCAAACACCACATCATGAGACATAATAACCATCTTTGTTTCCAAATCCATACACCTCCAACCCTTTCTATGAGTATCATAAATGCCTTTCTTGGCCTTTGGGTCAAGTTTAGTTTGATTATGTTTCAGTACATGAACATAACAAATAGAACCAAAAATACAAAAAAACTCACATTGGGTTTACGATGATAAATCAGCTCGAATGGTGATGATTTTGTCCCTGGCCATGGCGATTTACAACATGGCAAGCTGTTTGAAAAGCTGATGCCTATAACTCTCTTGGAAGACTCCTCGCATGCAGCCAAGACAAGCAAAGTGATGTAAGATGAGCTAACTTGCGCTCAGCCACCCCATTTTGTTGCGAGGTTTCTGGACAAGTCAGTTGACACTAAATCCCATGCTCCTTACAGTATTCCATAAAATCATTTGAAAGAAATTCCCCTCTATTATCATTGCGCAAGCACTTGATTTTCAATTCAAATTCTTTTCTACATCATGCTTAAACTGAATAAATTTTGAAAAATGTTCACTTTTGTGTTCTAAAAAGTATACCCAATGGAAACGAGAGAAATCATCCACAAACACCATCACGTAATGAAGGCCGGTATAGCTTGCTGTTCGCGTCGGTCCCAAAAGATCAGAATGAATCAATTCCAATACTATTAAAGCTCTACTCTTTGAGCTTGTGAAAGGAAGACAATGAGACTTGCCATATTGGCAGCCTGGACAAATCTATCATGCGGAATATCTTTAAAGACAGGGGTACCATCAAGAAGTTGTTTTGTGGATATTTTCTGCAACAACTGAAAACCCATATGACCCAACCAAGAATGCCAAAGAGTTGAGCTTGCATTATGACTAACTTTCTTGATATATTCATTCCTAACTAATAAAATATACAAAAATTCTTTTCTTTTTCCACGTAACAGGATACCAATAGCAATATGTTTCACATTAGAAAGTATTTGAAGATCTTTAGGACCAAAAAGTACATACCTTTCTGAATCTGTTATTTGTGATACAGAAGCAAGTTTTTTTTTTCAAACCAGGAACATGATAAACGTCCTTAAGTAGAACATTCCCATCATTCAAATCTTCTTCTTTCGTCACATGCATTGAATTATCAACTATCACAATGGCCTATCACAATGACTTGTTGTAAATTGTCATAAGTTTTGATTTGGTTTTTTTTATTAGATTAGATTTGGTTATTTAAATTAGATTTGATTTGGTTATTTGATTTGATTTAATTTGGTTATTTAGTTTAGATTTGATTTGGTTATTTGAATTAGATTTAGTGTTATTCATGATTCTGTAATGCTATATAATGAGAGATTTCTCCCTTCATTCCATACAAGTGTTATCGGGATTTGGGAGAGCTTTGGGAGTCACATTGTATTTGTTGAGTGACATATTGGTGAGAGTATTTATAGTGTGATAGTGAGGTATTCACTTGTGACACTTTGGTTTATTAGTGATTGGTTCGTGGATGTAGGGGAACTTCTTCTCTCCGAACCACGTAAATATCTTGGTGCCTCTTTGTGTAAATTCGTTCATGGGCGTTGTGAGTACATTTGTTCCACTTTCGGCTCACAACAATTGGTATCAGAGCCTGATTGTGGTATTTGGGGTATTGTGAAAGTTTTGGCCTCATCGACCACTAGACGTGCTCACAATCGTGCTTATTTTCTTGCAAATGGCAAGATCATCTGGAATTAAATCACGGCGTGGATCGAGATTTTTGAGTTCTAATCTTGAAGTAGAGAAATTTGATGGAACCAATAATTTGTTAGATAAAACCTGAGTTTTACCGTTTTTCTTATTCACACGATTTCAGAAAATCGTCAGTTTGACCATTTGACAAATCACGTCGAATGGATCACCATAGTTTTAGACTGAAATTTTGTAGGGATTTAGTTTGAAGATCGGTGTATATCATTGCAGAGGAGCCACTCTATCAACAAACAAGTTGAATAGCTCAAGTGGTTAGAGCTTTGACCTAACATCACAAAGGTCTCAGGTTCGAGTAGAAGAAAATGCGAACCCATCTCGGGCAGGCTCACTCACTCCTCCACGTCGTTGACGTGTGCTGACATCTCCATCACCGCCGCCACGAAGAGGCCAACGCCGTGATGACGGGCGTCAAGTTATCGTTGAGCGAGTGATCAGGGATACTGAACGACGGCATATTGACAAAGTCCAATTATATAACGAATGGATCTTGTTGATGCGCGTCAACCTACAGGCGCAAGGGTTATGGCATGCTGTTGAGCCATAGGAAGGAGAAACGATTGAGTACCATGAGGATCGGTTGGCGTTTGCCGCCATATTACGATCAGTGTCCCCAGAGATGCTGGCATCTCTCTCTCCACCAAGCGCACCGCGCAATCGGCCTGGGAATCCAACATCGAGCAGTTGCGGAAAGAGCTCTCGGAGATCCACTTTAAGGACGGTGAATCCGTCGATGATTTTTCAATGCGGATCACGGGGCTCGCCAACAACATCACCACACTCGATGGCAGCATCAGCGAGACAGAAATCGTGAAGAAGATGCTGCAGGTTGTCCCTGATCACCTCGAGCAAGTTGCGATTTCAATCGAGACATTGCTTGACGTGAACGACCTAACGGTAGAAGAGGTGACCGGAAGACTGCGTAACGTCGAGCAGCGGAAGAAAAATACCATTTCAGCTGTCGACAAGGGGGGTCGTCTACTCCTCACTAAGGAGGAATAATGGCTTGCTCCGTGACAACACCGACGAGAGCAACGGGTCCTCCTCCAGTCGCAAAGACGGTAAGAAGCCATGGATCTCCCACGGGCGCATGCGCGGGAAAGATGGGAATCAAAAGAAGGAGTCGACCAATGGCACAGGCCAATCTGCTCGAACTGTGGGAAGAGAGGACACCTAAGTAGGAATTGCTGGAGCAAGCTTAGGAACAAGGAGAAGGCCGAAAAGGCCCATGTGGCTCAATTCGAGGAGGACGAGCCAGCTCTCTTCATGGTAAGTGCATGTGTCCCCATTGTCGATTTCAAATCCACGGAAATGGAGGTAATCAACAACGATGTTGAACTCGAGAAAGAGCTCCAGCTGGGCGTATCAAAGGTGGCACCAGCTAGGGAGCCAATTCAACTGGAGGAGGAGCGAGTGTTCGCTTAGATCAGCCAGCGGGACGAGCAACACAAGGACCGGCGATGGATCCTAGACACAGGGGCAACAAACCATATGACCGGGGCTAGATCTGCATTCTCCGAACTCGACTCGGGGATCCGCGGGATGGTGAAATTCGGCGACGGATCCGTCGTCGAGATCGAAGGACGCGGCACCATCCTATTCGCTAGCAAGGGAGGCGAGCATCGCAAGCTGACCGACGTCTACTTCATCCCGAGGCTCAAGGCTAACCTTGTGAGCCTGGGTCAACTCGATGAGACAGGCTGTTTCATCTCCATCGAGCGCGGATTACTCAAAATTTGCGATAATCAACGACGGCTGCTCACACAGGCAAGGCGCACGACAAACCGTCTTTACATCCTGGAGTTACAGATAGAGCAACCTGTCAGTCTCTCGGCCAAGACCGAAGAGGTATCTTGGAGGTGGCACGCAAGGTACGGGCATTTAAACTTTCCTGCTCTAGAAAAACTACAAAAGGAGGAGTTAGTGCACGGTTTGCCAGCAATCAAAGGCGTGAACAAGCTGTGCGACGGGTGCCTCATCGGCAAACAGAGGCGCACACCCTTTCCGTCTCGAACATCCTATCGAGCCGATGAGCCGTTGGAGCTTGTACACGGCGATATCAGCGGGCCCATCAAGCCGGCGACCCCAGGCGGTAAGAGTCTCTTCCTCCTGTTAGTCGATGACAAAAGCCGCTTCATGTGGCTGACCCTGCTGCAAGCGAAAAGTGAGGCGGCAGAGACGGTTAAGTGCATTAAAGCGCGAGCGGAGGCTGAATGTGAGAAGAAGATGCGAGTGATGCGCACAGACCGAGGCGGAGAATTCACCTCGACAAGTTTCGGTAAGTACTGTGACGAAATCGGCATACAACGGCACCTAACGGCGCCCAAAGGCGTGAACAAGCTGTGCGACGGGTGCCTCATCGGCAAACAGAGGCGCACACCCTTTCCGTCTCGAACATCCTATCGAGTCGATGAGCCGTTGGAGCTTGTACACGGCGATATCAGCGGGCCCATCAAGCCGGCGACCCCAGGCGGTAAGAGTCTCTTCCTCCTGTTAGTCGATGACAAAAGCCGCTTCATGTGGCTGACCCTGCTGCAAGCGAAAAGTGAGGCGGCAAAGGAGGTTAAGTGCATTAAAGCGCGAGCGGAGGCCGAATGTGAGAAGAAGATGCGAGTGCTGCGCACAGACCGAGGCGGAGAATTCACCTTGACAAGTTTTGGTAAGTACTGTGACGAAATAGGCATACAACGGCACCTAACGGCGCCATACTCCCCCCAACAGAACGGAGTGGTGGAGCGCCGGAATCAGACCATCGTCGGGACAGCAAGGTCATTGTTGGTGACGGCCGGGATGCCTGGGAGATTCTGGGGAGAGGCAGTAATGACGGCCGTATATCTCCTCAATCGGTCACCAACCCGAAGCCTTGACGGGAAGACACCATATGAGGCCTGGTACAACAAAAAACCAGCGGTACATCATTTTCGCGTGTTCGGCTGCGTCGCTTACATGAAGGTAACACGTCCCCACCTCGCCAAGCTCGATCCTAAGGGCTGAAGGTCGTTTTTATCGGCTATGAACCCGGGAGCAAGGCGTACAGACTATATGATCCTGTAGGGGGGCGAGCTCACGTGTCTCGCGACGTCGTCTTCGATGAAAGCACCTTCTGGCAATGGAATGACGTGATCGAGGCAGATCATAATCCAAATCAATTTACGGTGAAGTACCTCGTCACTGAGCCGAAAGAAGGAGGAGCCCAGCATCAGCAGCCGTCACCGCCGCCAGCAGGTGCAACCCCTGAACCAGTGGAATTCGCAAGACCACGGACTGCGGATTCGACGCTGGATGCCGATCACGATACTGATCGGGAGGCCAGGTACCGGAGGATGGACGACCTAGTAGGAGGAGGTGAACCACCTGGATTGGCAGTGCGCGAGCTCGAAGAAGTGGCCGAACTACATGCCATCAGTGCAGATGAACCGTACACCTTCGCCGAAGCAGAAAAGAACCCGTGCTGGCTGAAGGCAATGCAGGAGGAGATGACATCCATCACCGAAAATCAGACGTGGAGTCTGGAGGATATGCCACCGGGACACCAAGCCATAGGGCTCAAATGGGTCTTCAAACTGAAGCGCAACGAAAAAGGAGAAGTTGTGAAACACAAGGCCCGTCTGGTGGCGAAGGGCTACGTCCAGAAGCAAGGAGTGGACTTCGAAGAGGTATTTGCGCCAGTGGCAAGGTTAGAATCCGTTCGTTTCTTACTTGCAATTGCAGCACATTACTCTTGGGAGGTTCACCATATGGACGTAAAGTCTGCTTTCCTTAACGGAGAGCTGAAGGAGACTGTTTATGTCCGACAACCACCTGGCTTCCTGGATAACAACAACCCCAATAAAGTATTGCGCCTGCACAAGGCACTCTACGGACTTCGACAAGCTCCACGAGCCTGGAACGCGAAGCTCGACAGTACCTTACTGTCACTGAAATTCAAACGTTGCGCCTCTGAGCATGGCATGTACACGCACGACCATGACAAGAAGCGACTAATCGTGGGAGTGTACGTCGACGACCTCATAATCACTGGAGGTGACATGGAAGTCCTCGGAAGGTTCAAAAAGGAGATGTCGAAAAACTTCGAGATGAGCGATCTCGGCGTGCTCAGCTACTATCTCGGCATCGAAGTGCAACAGAATTCTACCGGCATCTCTATCTGCCAAAGTGCATACGCAAAGAAGCTGCTGGACACAACTGGACTTGTGGACAGTAATCCTACAAGGACGCCAATGGAGGCCCGACTCCAACTAAGGAAGGCTGGCACTACGACGACAGTCGACTCCACCAATTACCGCAGCATTGTCGGGAGTATGCGCTATCTGGTAAACTCTCGTTCTGATCTTGCTTATTCTGTTGGATATGTGAGCCGGTTTATGGAAGCACCTAGGGAGGAGCATTTAGTGGCTGTCAAGCGCATCCTGCGCTATGTAGCCGGAACCAGAGGCTGGGGTGTAAGATACTGCGCAGGGAGCAGAAAGGAGAAACTCAAGCTAGTTGGCTACAGTGATAGTGACATGGCCGGTGACGTTGATGATCGTAAGAGCACTAGCGGAATGATCTACTTTCTCTCAGGCGGCGCAATCTGCTGGCAATCAACAAAACAGAAGGTAGTTGCTTTGTCTTCCTGTGAAGCAGAATACATCGCCGCTTCGATGGCAGCAACACAAGGGATCTGGCTTGCGCGACTAATGGAAGAACTCATCGGGAGAGAAAGTGATCCACCAATGCTATACGTAGACAACAAAGCTACGATCTCCTTGATCAAAAATCCAGTTTTGCATGAACGAAGCAAGCACATTGAAATCAGATTCCACTACATTCGAGAATGTGCAGATCGAGGGCTCATCAAAATTGATTACATCCGAACAGAAGAACAACTTGGAGACATCTTCACCAAGTCCCTGGCGCGGGTGAAATTTGAAGAACTACGCTCAAAGATCGGAGTTCAAATAGTAAGGTAGATATACTACAGGTTTTAGGAGGAGATTGTTAGATAAAACCTGAGTTTTACCGTTTTTCTTATTCACACGATTTCAGAAAATCGTCAGTTTGACCATTTGACAAATCACGTCGAATGGATCCCCATAGTTTTAGACTGAAATTTTGTAGGGAGTGGCACAGATTTAGTTGCCACTCTCCAGCCAATTTTAGAATCCTTTTTACTTTAAATAGGAGATTTGTTCAGAAAATAAAACAACCTGAACGCAGTCAGAGTTATTTTTCTCTCTCCTTTTTGTTACGCATTTTCCCAATTTCCTCTCACCGAAATTCTGTGAAAACCAACATAATTTTTGTGTTTAGCGAGGTGATTTGCTTGTCCTGCAAGATCTTGATGCTTCTCTCCAAGAGGAGATGCCTGAAGACATGACAGACGCTGAATGGACGAAATTAAATCGACAAGCTTGCGAAATTATTCGATCCTGTCTTGGCAAGGATCAGAAATATCCATTTATGAAGGTGACCATGGCGAAAGAACTATGGGACGCTTGAGGCAAAATATATGCAAAAGAGTGTGGAAAATAAACTCTATTTGAAGAAAAAACTCTTCCGTTTTGACTACAAGAAAGGTATCTCAATGGCTGAACATTTTGATGAATTTAACAAAATCATCACTGATTTGCTCAATCTTGATGTTAAGATTGATGACGAAGGCAAGGCGTTGTTGTTATTAAATTCTTTGCCGGAGTCCTACGAGTTTTTAGTAACCACCCTACTACATGAAATCACTGATATTCATTTTGAAGATGTTTCAAATGCCTTGATGAATAATGAGGTGCGAAAGAACGAAAATAAGGCATATAAAGATTCTAGCTCAAATGTTCTCACTGCTCGTGGAAGGACTTCTACTTGGCAAAGGAGTGAATGTGGAGAGTCCCGATCAAAGTCGAGAGGTAGATCTGATAATTGGAGAAACTTGATAAAAATGAGTGTGCATATTGTCGACAAAAAGCCATTGAAAGAAAGATTGTCCGATCTTAAAAGAGAAGGGGTCGAAGTCCAATGTGGTTAGAGATGACGACACTGATACAGATGATGCCTTGACAATCTCCCTATCAGTCAGCCAAACCAGTGAATGGATTCTTTATTCTGGGTGCTCCTATCATATGTGTCCCAACAGAGAGATGTTTTTGGACTTCAAAGAGTTCAATGGTGGAGTTGTCTATATCGGCAATGATAGTACTTGCAAGATGACGGGAATCGGCTCAGTACAAATCAAGATGTTGGACGGGGTTATTCGAAAACTCAATGATGTGAGGTATGTCCCTAACTTGAAGAAAAATTTGATTTCCCTTGGCGTTTTGGATGCGAGTGGTTATCATATCATTTTGGAATGAGAGAATTTGAAAGTAGCTTGTGGAGCTTTGGTGGCAATTAAAGGAACTAGAAGAGGTAGCATATACTACCTCAACGGAACCACAATAATTGGGCATGCTACTGTGGCAAGTTTGAAAGAACAAGACATATCAAAATTATGGCACATGAGACTTGGGCATGCGGGTGAGAAGGCGCTTCAGACATTGGTGAACCAAGGAGTCCTTAAGGGTGCCACAACTGGTAAAATTGATTTATGTGAACATTGTATATTTGGTAAACAAAAAAATGTGAAGCTTTTACAGGTATACATCAAACAAAGGGCATTTTGGATTATGTTCACACTCATGTATGAGGCCCCACGAAGAATGTCTCATTGGGAGGAAAGAGGTGGTTTGTCACCTTTATTGATGACTACTCAAGGAGAGTTTGGATGTATCCCATGAGGCACAAAAACGAGGTTCTCCAAATCTTCCTAGAGTGGAAGAAAATGGTAGAGAATCAGACGAACAGGAAAATCAAAAAGTTGAGATTAGACAACGGTGGAGAATATACTTATGATCAATTCCTTAAAGTATGTCGAGATGAAGGGATCGTTCGACGCATTTTGTCTCAAGCAGGATTGAGTAAGGCATTTGGGGCTGAGGCTCTCAGTTATGTAGTTCACTTGGTGAATCGTTTACCTGTTTCTGGAAATGGTGGGAAAACTCCGCTTGAGGTATGGTTAAGTACTCCGGTTTGTGATTATGATAAATTGCATATGTTTGGGTGTCTTGCTTATTATCATGTGATAGACTCAAAGTTGGATCCTAGAGCAAAAAAAGTCATGTTTATGGGCTTTAGCAAAGCCGTGAAGGGCTATAGGTTATGGTGTCCAGAAACAAGTAAGATTGTTAATAGTCGAGATGTGACATTCGTTGAGTCTGGAATGTTTTTGCAGGAAATTGAAAATAATGACGAGACATTGAAGCAGGTGGAGAAGGTGGTGTTCTCTCTTAATATGGTTGCTTCAACTGAAGAACCTATTGATCAGGTAGATAATAACTCTAATGTCTTAGAACAGGAGGAGCAAAACATTGTAAATGAAAGAGTGGAGGAACCTGAGTCCATCGCCAGGAATAAACCATGAAAAGAAATTCAAAAACCTGCAAGGTTTGATGATATGATAGCATATGCTTTCCCTTTAATTGATGAAGTTCCCAACAACTACAAAGTTGCTATCCAGAGCCCGGATAGATTGCACTAGCAAGAGGCTATGAATCAGGAGATAGCATCATTGGAGATAAATCAAACTTGGGATTTGGTACAACTTCCAAAAGGTAAGAAAGAAATTGGCTGTAAATGGGTTTTTACAAAAAATGAAGATTCTTCTGGTATACGTTATAAGGCTCGACTTGTGGCTAAAGGCTATGCACAAAAGGAAGGTTTTGATTACAATGAAATTTTCTCACCTATGGTAAAACATTCTTCCATTCGAATTTTGTTGGCTTTGGTTGCTCAATTTGATCTTGAGCTTGTACAACTCGATGTAAAAACTGTCTTTTTGCATGGGAATTTGGAAGAAGAAATATATATGGCACAACCAGTTGGTTTTCGAGTAGTTGGACAGCAACATTTGGTATGCATATTGAAGAAATCTTTGTATGGGCTGAAGCAATCTCCTCGCCAATGGTATAAAAAGTTTGATTATTTCATGGTAGAGCATAAGTATACTCATAGTCAATTTGATCATTGTGTGTATTATCGGTGTCTTGATGATGCATCATTTATCTATTTGCTCTTATATGTTGATGATATGTTAATTGCTTCAAAGAGGCAGGTGGAGATTAATAAGCTCAAAGATCAGCTTTCTAAAGCTTTTGAAATGAAAGACTTAGGCAATGCAAAGAAAATATTTGGAATGGAGATAGAGCGAGATTGAAAAAAAGGTACAGTCTGGTTGATTCAGTCTCAATATCTATGCAAGGTATTGACAAGATTTAGTTTGAATAATTCAATCAAACCTGTTAGTACTCCATTTGCTCCTCATTTCAAGCTTAGTGCTTCCAGGTGTCCAAGTTCTGACGATGACAAAAGGTATATGGAGAATATTCCTTATACAAATGCTGTTGGTGCTTTGATGTATGCTATGGTATGTACTCGACATGATCTTTCACACGCAGTAAGCATGGTGAGTCATTATATGCATAATCCTGATAAAGAGCATTGACAGGCTGTCAAATGAATTCTTAGGTACATTCTTGGTACTATTGATGTTGGTATTAAGTTTTAAAAACAAGAAATGTTTAATCTTGACAACCTTGTAGTTGGTTATGTAGATTCTGATTATGTTGGTGATTTGGATAAACGACGATCTACTACGGGTTATTTATTTATTATGGCTGGTGGACCTATTTGTTGGCGCTCAACACTATAGTCTACTGTTGCACTGTCTACCACCAAAGCAGAGTATATGGCAGTAACGAAAGCTTTTAAAGAAGCTGTTTGGATGTATGGTTTGATCAATGACTTGGGTATTTTGCAGGAACATATAGATGTGTTTTGTGATAGCTAGAGTGCTATTTGTTTGACAAAAAAATCCAGTTCATCATGCTCGTACTAAACATATTGATGTTCGTTTTCACTTTATTCGAGAAATGATTAGTGAAGGGGACATTCGTTTATAAAAAATTGGAACTGCTGATAACCCTGCTGATATATTAACAAAGGTGATCGCTCATGAAAAGTTTTGACATTGTTTGGATTTCATCAACGTTAGAAGAAAGGAGTAGTGCGTTGATGTGGTTGCAACCAACTCAATTATCAACTTGGAGATCTCATGACAAGGTGAAGATTGTTGTAAATTATCATAAGTTTTGATTTGGTTTTTTAGATTAGATTAGATTTAGTGTTAGTCATATCGGAGATTTAATTCTGTAATGCTATATAATGAGAGATTTCTCCCTCCATTCCATACAAGTGGTATCGGGATTTGGGAGAGCTTTGAGAGCCACATTGTATTTGTTGAGTGACATATTGATGAGAGTCTTTGTAGTGTGATAGTGATGTATTTGTTAGATAAAACCTGAGTTTTTACAGTTTTTCCTTATTCACACGATTTCAGAATCTCGGTTTGACTATTCGTTATCACCAAAATTTTATATTGAAATTTTGTAGGGAGTGGCACATATTTAGTTGACCACTCTCCACTGATAATTTATATTTAAGTATGAAATTTGTTGAGAATATTAAACTACCTGATTATTAAACGCAGTCAAAGTTTCATCATTCTCTTTCTTTTACGCATTTTTTTCGAACAACCAATTTCCTCTCACCGAATTTCTCTCAAAACAACAAGTGGTATCAGAGCCAGGTTGAAGCCATCGGTGTATATCATTGCAGAGGAGTCAACCAATCAACAAACAAGTTGAATAGTTCAAGTGGTTAGAGCAGCAACCTAACAACACATAGGTCTTAGGTTCGAGTAGAAAAAAATGCAAAGTGTAAAAATACACACATCATGGGGTCCATCTCGTGCAGGATCACTCAACTCCTCCACGCTGCCGTCATGTGCTGACATCTCCATCACCACTATGAAAGAGGTCGACGCTATGATGATGATGGGCCGTGATCTTGTTGATGCCCGAAGTCCGGCTCCTCTCTTCTCGAGAATCCATACATTCTTTATCAGTATATGGACAGCTATCTCTCGAGCACAGGTTTAGGTTCGGCCTCAATGGGAAAATAAAACGGAGCACCTAACAACGTATCTTCACAGACCAAGAACTACGAGATCGCCCCTTTCATTCTGGGGTGACGGAGGGATCGTACCATTCGAGCCTTTTTTTTCATGCTTTTCCCGGAGGTCTGGAGAAAGCTCCAATCAATAGGATTTTCTTAATCCTCCCTTCCCGAAAGCGAAAGGAAGAACGTGAAATTCTTTTTCCTTTCTTCCGCAGGGACCAGGAGATTTGAAAAAGGATCTTAGAGTGTCTAGGGTTGGGCCAGGAGGGTTTCTTAACGCCTTCTTTTTTCTTCTCATCGGAGTTATTTCACAAAGACTTGCCATGGTAAGGAAGAAGGGGGGAACAAGCACACTTGGAGAGCGCAGTACAACGGAGAGTTGTATGCTGCGTTTGGGAAGGATGAATCGCTCCCAAAAAGGAATCTATTGATTCTCTCCCAATTGGTTGGACCGTAGTCGCGATGATTTACTTCACGGGCGAGGTCTCTGGTTCAAGTCCAGGATGGCCCAGCTACGCCAAGGAAAAGAATAAAGTTTATAGTTATATCTCTAAAGGGTAACACTTTTTGGGGAGTACTTTTGGACGGCGAATCCATCGTGAAGAAGATGCTGCAGGTCGTCCCTGATCACCTCGAGTAAGTCGCGATTTTAATCGAGACATTGCTTGACGTGAACGACCTAACGATGGAAGAGGTGACCGGAAGACTGCGTAATGTCGAGTAGCGGAAGAAAAATACCATTTCAGCTGTTGACAAGGAGGGTCGTCTACTCCTCACTGAGGAGGAATGGCTTGCACGCCTAAAGCTCCGCGACAACACCAACGAGAGCAACGGGTCCTCCTTCAGCCGCAAAGACGGTAAGAAGCCATGGATGTCCCACGGGGGCATGCGCGGAAAAGATGGGAATCAAAAGGAGTCGACCAATGGCAGGCCGATATGCTCGAACTGTGGGAAGAGAGGACACCTGAGCAGGAATTGCTGGAGCAAGCTTAGAAACAAGGAGAAGGCCGAAAAGGCCCATGTGGCTCAATCCGAGGAGGACGAGCCAGCTCTCTTCATGGTAAGTGCATGTGTCCCCATTGTTGATTCCAAATCCACGGAGATGGAGGTAATCGACGACGATGTTGAACTCGAGAAAGAGTTCCAGCTGGGCATAGCAAAGGTGGCACCAGCTAGGGAGCCAATTCAACTGGAGGAGGAGCGAGCGTTCGCTCAGATCGGCGAGCGGGATGAGCAACACAAGCACCGGCGATGGATCCTAGACACAAGGGCAACAAACCATATGACCGAGGCTAGATCTGCGTTCTCTGAGCTCGACTTGGGGATCCAAAACGGTAAAATTTGGCGACGGCTCTGTCGTCGAGATCGAAGGACGTGGCACCATCCTGTTCGCCAGCAAGGGAGGCGAGCATCGCAAGCTGACCGACGTCTACTTCATCCCAAGGCTCAAGGCTAACCTTGTGAGCCTGAGTCAACTCGATGAGACAGGCTGCTTCATTTCCATCGAGCGCGGACGACTCAAAATCTGCGATAATCAACGACGGCTGCTCACGCAGGCAAGGCGCACGACAAACCGTCTTTACATCCTGGAGTTAGAGATAGAGCAACCCGTCAGTCTCTCGGCCAAGATTGAAGAGGTATGTTGGAAGTGGCACGCAAGGTACGGGCACTTAAACTATCCTGCTCTAGAAAAGCTACAGAAGGAGGAGTTGGTGCACGGTTTGCCAGTAATCAAAGGCGTGAACAAGCTGTGCGACGGGTGCGTCATCGGCAAACAGAGGCGCACACCCTTTCCGTCTCGAACATCCTACCGAGCCGATGAGCCGTTGGAGCTTGTACACAGAGATATCTGCGGGCCCATCAAGCCGGCGACCCCAGGCGGAAAGAGTCTCTTCTCCTGTTAGTCGATGACAAAAGCAGCTTCATGTGGCTGACCCTACTGCAAGCGAAAAGTGAGGCGGCAGAGGCGGTTAAGTGCATTAAAGCGCGAGCGGAGGTCGAATGTGAGAAGAAGAGTGCTGCGCGCAGACCAAGGCGAAGAATTCACCTTGACAAGTTTCGGTAAGTACTGTGACGAGATCGGCATACAACGGCACCTAACGGCGCCCTACTCCCCCTAACAGAACGGAGTGGTGGAGCGCCAAAATCAGACCATTGTCGGGACAACGAGGTCATTGTTGGTGACGGTCGGGATGCCTGGGAGATTTTGAGAAGAGGTAGTAATGACGGTCGTTTATCTTCTCAATCGGTCACCAACCCGAAGCCTTGACGGGAAGACGCCATATGAGACCTGGTACAACAAAAAACCAGCGGTACATCATTTTCGTGTGTTCGGCTGCGTCGCATACATGAAGGTAACACGTCCCCACCTCGCCAAGCTCGATCCTAGGGGGCTGAAGGTCGTCTTCATCGGCTATGAACCCGGGAGCAAGGCGTACAGACTATATGATCCTGTAGGGGGGCGAGCTCACGTGTCTCACGACGTCGTCTTCGATGAAAGCACCTTCTGGCAGTGGAATGACGTGATCGAGGCAGACCATAATCCAAATCAATTTACGGTGAAGTACCTCGTCACCAAGCCGGAAGAAGGAGGAGCCAGCATCAGCAGCCGTCACCGCCGCCAGCAGGTGCAACCCCTGAACCAGTGGAATTCGCAACACCACGGACTGCGGATTCGACGCTGGATGCCGATCACGATACTGATCTGGAGGCCAGGTACCAAAGGATGGACGACCTAGTAGGAGGAGGTGAACCACCTGGACTGGCAGTGCGCGAGCTCGAAGAAGTGGCCGAACTACATACCATCAGTGCAGATGAACCGAACACCTTCGCCGAAGTAGAAAAGAACCCGTGCTGGCTGAAGGCAATGCAGGAGGAGATGACATCCATCAACGAGAACCAGACGTGGAGTCTGGAGGATATGCCACCGGGACACCAAGCCATAGAGCTCAAATGGGTCTTCAAACTGAAGCGCAACGAAAAAGGAGAAGTTGTGAAGCACAAGGCCCGTCTGGTGGCAAAGGGCTACGTCCAGAAGCAAGGATTGGACTTCGAAGAGGTATTTGCGCCAGATGCAAGGTTAGAATCCATTTGTTTCTTGCTGGCAATTGCGGCACATTACTCTTGGGAGGTTCACCATATGAACATAAAGTCTGCTTTCCTTAACGGAGAGCTGAAGGAGACCGTCTATGTCCGACAACCACTTGGCTTTCTGAACAACGACAACCCCAATAAAGTACTGCGCCTGCACAAGACACTCTACAGGCTTCGACAAGCTCCACGAGCTTGGAACGCAAAGCTCGACAGTACCTTACTGTCATTGAAATTCAAACGTTGCGCCTCTGAGCATGGCATGTACACGCACGGCCATGGCAAGAAGTGACTGATCGTGGGAGTGTACGTCGACGACCTCATAATCACTGGAGGTGACATGGAAGTCCTCGGAAGGTTCAAGGAGAAGATGTCGAAAAACTTCGAGATGAGCGATCTCGGCGTGCTCAACTACTATCTCGGCATCGAAGTGCAACAGAATTCTACCGACATCTCCATCTGCCAAAGTGCATACGTGAAGAAGCTGCTAGACACAACTGGGCTTGTGGACAGTAATCCTACAAGGACGCTAATGGAGGCCCGACTCCAACTAAGGAAGGCCGGCACTACGATGACAGTCGACTCCACCAATTACCGCAGCATTGTCGGGAGTCTGCGCTATCTGGTAAACTCTCGTCCTGATCTTGCTTATTCTGTTGAATATGTGAGCCGGTTTATCGAAGCACCTAGAGAGAAGCATCTAGTGGCTGTCAAGCGCATCCTGCGCTATGTAGCCGGAACCAGAGGCTGGGGTGTAAGATACTGCGCAGGGAGCGGAAAGGAGAAACTCAAGCTGGTCGGCTACAGTGATAGTGACATGGCCGGTGACGTTGATGATCGTAAGAGCACTAGCGGAATGATCTACTTTTTCTCAGGCGGCGCAATCTACTGGCAATCAACAAAACAGAAGGTAGTTGCTTTGTCTTCTTGCGAAGCAGAATACATCGCCGCTTCGATGGCAGCAACACAAGGGATCTGGCTTGCGCGAATAATGGAAGAACTCATTGGGAGAGAAAGTGATCCACCAATGCTATACGTAGACAACAAAGCTACGATCTCCCTGATCAAAAATCCAGTTTTGCATGAACGAAGCAAATACATAGAAATCAGATTCCACTACATTCGAGAATGTGCAGAT